GGAGAGAGACTCTTTATGTGAGGGAAGGGTGAAATGGAGGAGCAATCAATGGAAATGGAGAAGGGATTGGTCTTCTTTAGGGTGGATTTGGTGCCTACAAGGAGAAGTTCAGTTTAGTTTAGTTTGAGGAAGTTTGAGGTGGAGAGGTAGAGCTGGGTGTCATCCGTGTAGCATTGGAAGTGGATATGGTGTTTCCAAAAAATGTGACCGAGGGGGAGGAGGTAGAAGATGAACAGCACGGGACCGAGGACAGAACCTTGGGGAACACCATTGGTGATAAATATTTGGAGATTTGAGCTGGATGAACTGGGTGCAGTCAGAAAGATCAGAGTGAAACCAGGAGAGTGCTGTGCCAGTGATGCCAACAGAAGAGAGACTGTCACGAAGACTGTGACGAAGGTCATACTTAGATCAAGTAGGAGAAAAATGGATCGTGAACCAGGGTCATTAGAGAGGAGAAGGTCGCTAGTGATTTTGAGAAGGGCATTTTCAGTGCTGTGGAGGGGACGGAAGCCAGACTGGAAATGTTTATACAGGTAATTGGAGAAAAAACAGGAATGGAGTTGAGCAGAAACAGTCAGAAACATCACAGACTCTGATAGTTTAGTCATTACAGGTGATTTTAATGGACATGTGGATAATGTGTGGGACAAAAATGCCAAAGAGCTTAGTGTTGTCCTTGAAACCTTTGGTCTGACTCAGCATGTCAGTGAGCCCACTCACAACAGAGACACACTCTGGACCTGCTCATTACAAAGGGTGTAAATATTTCAAATGTCAGTGTGTGATGTTGCTCTGTCTGATCATTTCTGTGTCTTCTTTGACCGTCTGTTATTCCCAAACCACGGCTGCTCTACAGTTGTTCGAAGGAGACACATAAATGATAACACAGGTTGCACTGTTCATGGAAATGATACATTTTGAAATTGCCTCATGTTCTAATGTTGATGATGTGTTGAACTCTGTGACTTTGAGTGTTTTGAATGTTCTGGATGCCATCGCTCCGATAAAGGTTAAAGTGGTTAAAGAGGCAAAAAGCTCCGTGGAGGAATGATGACTCAGTCAGAGCACAGAAAAGGGAGTGCCGGAAGGCTGAGCGGAAATGGCGCAAGTCAAACCTCCAGGTTCATTATGAGATTTACAGAGGAACAATGCATATGTACAACTACACTTTGAGTAAAACAAGAGAGAAGTATTTTTCGGACATTATTGGTAATTGCAGTAACAACTCTCATGTCCTGTTTGCAACAGTGAACAGATTAACAAACCCTCCAGCTCCACTGCCACTAAGAACTAATTTTCACATCTAAATGTAATGAGTTTGCAGTTTTCTTTAATGACAAAAAATGCATCAATTCCACAACACAAATAACAAACTGCAGCCACAGAGACACTTAGAGCTGAGTCACTTTGCACCTGTAACTGACAAAACTGTTTTAGAGATCGTCACCAGTCTGAGTTCATCTACAAGCTGCCTTGATGTGTTACCCACTAGATTTCTAAAGTTTGTCCTCAACAGTTTCACCACTCGCTCACATAACTGACACATTAACATGTCACTTCAATCTGGAACATTCCCAAACGCATTGAAAACTGCGGTCATTAAGCCGCTCCTAAAGAAGAGCAGTCTTGATGCCACAGAACTGAACAATTTCCGACCCATCTCAAATCTGACATTTTTTGGCAAAGTCCTTGATAAAGCTGTTCAGCAACAGCTTACGAACTTTCTCCAAATGAACAACTCCTTTGATGTTTTCCAGTCAGGATTTAAATGTTTAAAAAGTCTGCTAAAAGTCCAAATATATTGGTGTATCCTACTCATGAAGCTTTTTTTTCATGGAATGTCTTTTGTGCCATGAATCTGCACTAGAGCGACTTTGGACAAGACAGATATGCAAAACCACAATCTGCACATGTTTTTACAATGACAGACACCGAGAAACTGATGCTTTCTACAAAATACTCTCTCTTAGAACAGAGCCTAAGGAGTTTTGACCCATCGGTGTCACAGCGTACATCACAGTGTGTATGTCACAGTGTACGTCACAGTGGGCGTGTACATCACAGTGGGCGTGTACATCACAGTGGGCGTGTACATCACAGTGGGCGTGTACGTCACAGTGGTGTACGTGGGCGTGTGACATCGTCACAGTGGGACGTCACAGTCACAGTGTACGTCACAGTGGACGTGGCGTACGTGTGTACGTCACAGTGGGCGTGTACGTCACAGTGGACACGTGGCGTGACGTACGTCACAGTGGGCGTGTACGTCACAGTGGGCGTGTACGTCACAGTGGGCGTGTACGTCACAGTGGGACGTCACAGTGGGCGTGTACACGTCACAACAGTGGGCGTGTACGTCACAGTGGGACGTCACAGTGGGCGTGTACGTCACAGTGGGCGTCACAGTGTGTACGTCACAGTGGGCGTGTACGTCACAGTGGGCGTGTACGTCACAGTACGCCTTGGGAAGCCCCTGTGCTCAGAGTGATGGTGCTTGAGGTATTGTTGCCAACACGTTCTGTTTGTGTCTCAGGCTGAAGAAGTCTAGCAACCAGAGAGAGGTGTTCAGACCAGCTTGTGGTGTTTGCAGATGAGCTGTTGTGGTATTATGGTGTTGAATACTGAACTGAAGTCTCTGAACTGCATTCTCAAATATGAACAGCATTCTCAGATTCTCCCAGCCCTCATCCATCTGGACAATCTTTATTGTCCAGATGGATGAGGGCTGGTGCAGGACAGACCAGATTATCCTCTGTGGAACATTTGGCTTGGTAAGCGAACAGGAAGGGTCCAGGGTGGGGGAGAGGGTGGATTTACTGTGAGACATGACGAGCAGTTAAAAGCACTTCATGATGATGTGCATCAGCGCCACAGGGCGGTAGTCTTTGAAGCAGGATGGGACAATGTCTTGCTCCAAAGAGGTGTTGAAGATGTCTGTAAAGACTTAGCTCCTCTGCACAGTCCTTCAGCACATGACCTGGGATGTTGTCTGGACCTGCTGCTTTGTGTGGGTTGATGGTGGTGAGTCTCATCTTCACGCTGGAGGCAGACAGGCACAAAGTCTGGTGGTGGAGAGGGGCTGTGGTTTTCTGTGGATGGGTGTTTTGTGCTTCAAAGCAAAGAAGCTGTTCAGTTCATTGAGCAGAGGTGTTGCTCTCGCAGCTCTGTGGCGTGGGCTTGTAGTCCATGATGGCCTGGATGTCCTGCCATAGGCTCTGAGCATCCCTGCTGTCTTTGAAGTGGGAGGTTATCGTATTTGTGTTCTTCTTTTTTGCTTCCCTGATGCCTGGGACAAGTTTGCTCTCACTGTTCTCAGGCCAGCTTCGTCTCCAGCTCTGAAGGCTTTGTCTCTGGCCCTCAGCAGCCTGTGGATGTCCCCTGTCAACCATGGATTCTTGTTGCCGTGAGTGATGATGCTTTTGGTGTGGGTCACATATTTGACACATATGGTGATGAAAGAGTCACAGTGTCTGTGTCTCCTCAATGTTTACAAGGTTGTCTTGTATGGCAGATTCCATAAACATTTCCCAGTCTGTTGTGCCAAAGCCACCAAGCAGAGGAGGCCCCCTCTGGCCACACTCTTACCTCCTTCAGAACCGGTTTGGTGACTTTCACACTCTGTATGTATGCCAGTATTAACATAACAGTGATGTGGTTCGCCACGAGTCTTTCCTCCGTCTGTGAGGGCTCTGTCTGCTCAGTAGCATGCTAGCTGCTCCAGTTGTACAGCAGAGTTGGGAATGTTTTTATTTCATCGTGTCTCAGTGATAATTGTGGCTTCCTCTCTCTTTTTTGTTGTTTTATTTTGTGTTGATATTTTGTTCAGTTGAAAATATATAAAAATCAGTAAGTGTCATCACCTTTCCATACAACACTCAAATATGAAAACACAAAACAAAATTGTGTTTATTGATCACACTTCTTTATTCTTTCTCTTTTAGGGGAAAATTGCATTAGAGAGGTTTATTGAAGAAAGTAAGAAGATAAACAACGGACCTCCTGCCCGATACCAGCTGCAGCTAAAAAGAGTAAATCTGGACAAAGAATCAAATGAAGAATCTAAACTGAGGAGATTTACTCTTGGAGAACGTGATCCAAAGCATCTGAACAAGACCATCCTCCTGGTGGGAGCCACAGGGTCAGGGAAGTCCACTCTGATCAACACTCTGGTCAACTTTGTGATGGGGGTGAAGTTTGAAGACAAAGTCTGGTTTGAGGTCATCACAGATGAAAAGAACAAACCTCAGTCTGAGAGTCAAACCACTGCTGTGTCTGTTTACGACATCTATGGATTCGAGGGAAAAACTGTCCCTTATTCACTGACCATCATCGACACTCCAGGATACGGAGACACCAGAGGATTAGAACATGATGATATGGTCACAAAAAAACTGAAAGACCTGTTCTGCATCTCTGAGGGAGTGTGATGATGACATGGATGCTCTCACTGGAAAGTGGCATCTCAGATCTGGAAGATGCAAAGATTCTTTGTGCCAGAATGTTGTTCAAGTTTGTGATGAAGATGATGAGAAGATGCAAAACATGCATTTAAAACTTCAAACAAGGGAATGGAGAAGTTCACAAAGTTTCTGGAAACAACAAAACCTCAGTCTCTGAAGTCGACAGTGGAGGTGATTAAAGAGAGGAATCAGACTCACGGCCTGCATCCAGAACCTAAAGGAACGAGTGAAAGAGACGGAAATGAAACAGGAAACAATCGAAAAGAACAAAGAGGAACTTAAACAATTTAAAAATGAGAATAAAAACTTTAAAGTTACCATAGAAGAAACCTACAAAGAGAAAGTGGAAATAGACGCCTGGTGGGACACCAAAGCTGTCACCTGTAATAACTGCAAAGAGAACTGTCATTACCCAGGATGCACCTGGTCCTGGAGTCCAAGCTGGTGTGAGGTCATAAAAGACGGGAAATGTACTTCCTGTTCTGGGAAGTGTCCAGCGGACGCTCATGTGAAAGAAAACTGGAAATATGTGACAAAGACCAGAACAGTGGAAAGAACCAAAGAAGAAATGAAGGCCAAGTATGAAGAGAACAAAACCAAGAGTGAGGAGAAGACCAGTCTGCTGGAGGATCTGGAGAAGGAAATGTCTGAGCTTAAACAAAAGAAAAAAATATTTCTTAATGAAGCCTTCAGCATCATTGTGCAGCTGGAGGGAATCGCTCTGAACGAAGATGCAGTCACCACTTACATCCATCTGGAGTTTCTGATTGAGAAAATGAAAGAGACGGGAGACAAAGAGAAGGTGCAGATACTGGAGAAAATGAGAGACCGGATGGACGAGAAGAACAAGTCTGGGGCAAACTACTTAGCGGGGCATATGTTTGCAAAATTAAAAACTTTTGCCCTTTCAAAATTTTGTTATTAATTTCAAAATTAACAACCCAGTGTTTCATGGGCTTTACAGGAGTTAAGGTAAAGTCAGATAAACAAACGGTGACACAACCAAAAGAGATATACTGAGTTTTAGTTTTAGTTTTACTTACAACTTTAATCAACACTTTGTTTATAAAATGTGTCTGGTTTAGCGGCACTACAAAGCTCAGTCACTCTGAGTCTCTAACCTGCCCCTGAACTCAAACCTGCTCCAGTTAAATTCCTGAATAAGACGAGAAGACGACGATGATCAGAAACAACTCACTTTACCACAAAACAAAGTTAGAAAATCAAACCGTGAAACAGTCACTGGTGAATAAGAGACAAAGCAGATTAACAAACATTCACAGAAAACATGAAGTGTCCCAGAGCGCCCCCTGTCCTTAAACTCTCCTTCTGCAACGAAAACCCAGAGGATCAAACAGAAACCTGGAGAAAAACCACAGTGAAGGACAGATCCACTCCCATGGACATCACCCTGGAGGAACTTTGAGACAGAATTTACAAGAAACACATTTTTCTGATTCTTAAAACACGATTTCAACTCAGTAAAGGTGTTTTCTTATATTTTTATTTGAGTTTTTGGCCTAGTGTAGGTCAGGGTTGGTTTTATGGTGTTTTTTTTTTTACTATAATGATGCTTAAAATCTTGCAAGTATGCCTTTCTTTTTTGCGACCAAATGAATAAACCAAGCAAAAAAAAAAATAATAATAAAAAATAAAATAATAATAATAATAATGCTTAAAAAACTAATAAAAATATACATTATTCACACATTATATTATAAAATTTTAGTTTTCACATAAATGTTCCTGATGGAAATTGACATTTATAATATTAATTTTACTTTGTGTGTTTAAATAGAAAATCATTCAAAACTGTTTTTTTTTATTTTAAATGTATTTTTTAAAACCTTCCAGTGTGTTTATCACAACTTACCTAAGAAATAAACAGAAATTTTAATAAATCTGTAAATGTATTGATTTTGTTGTTGAATGTTAAACTACCGTTCAAAAGTTTGGGGTCACTTAGAATTGTCCTTATTTTTTGAAGGAAAAGCACTGTTTTTTTTAATGAAGGTAACTTTAAACTAATCAGAAATACACTCTATCTTTGCTCATGTGGTAAATGACTATTGTAGCTGCCAATGTCTGTTTTTTGGTGCAATATCTACATCGGTGTATAGAGGCTCATTTCCAGCAACTGTCACTCCAGTGTTCTAATGGTACAATGTGTGTGTGCATTGTCTCAGAAGGCTCATGGATGATTAGAAAACCCTTGTGCATCATGTTAGAACATCTGAAAACAGTTTAGCTGGTTAGAAAAGCTCTAAAACTGACCTTCCTTTGAGCAGGTTGAGTATCTGGAGCTTCACATTTGTGGGGTCAATTAAACGCTCAAAATGGCCAGAAAAAGAAGAACTTTCAGGTGAAACTTGACAGTCTATTCTTGTTTTTAAAAATGAAGGCTATTCCATGCGAGAAACTGCCAAGAAAGTGAAGATTTCCTACAGCGGTGTGAACTACTCCCTTCATAGAACAGCACAAACAGGCTCTAACCAGAGTAGAAAGAGAAGTGGGAGGCTCCGCTGCACAACTGAGCACAAAGATCAGAACATTAGAGTCTGTAGTTTGAGAAATAGACGCTTCACAGGTCCTCAACTGGCAGCTTCATGAAATAGAACCTGCAAAATGCCAGTGTCAACATCTACAGAGAAGAGGCGACTCAGGGATGCTGGCAGAGTGGCAAAGAAAAAGCCATATCTGAGACTGGCCAATAAAAGAAAAAGATTAATATGGGGAAAAGAACACAGACATTGGACAGAGGGAGATTGGAAAAAAGTGTTATGGGCGGACGAATCGAAGTTTGAGGAGTTTGGATCACACAGAAGAACATTTGTGAGACGCAGAACAACTGAAAAGATGCTGGAAGAGTGTCTGACTCCATCTGTCAAACGCGGTGGGGGTAACGTGATGGTCTGGGGTTCCTTTGGTGCTGGTGAGGTCGGAGATTTGATCAGGGTAATAGGGATTTTGAATAAGGAAGGTTATCCCTCCATTTTGCAACGCCATGCCAAACCCTGTGGACAGAGCTTGATTAGAGCCAATTTCACCCTCCAACAGGACAATGACCCAAACACACCTCCAAATTGTACAAGAACTATTTAGTCACAGTCACCAGATCTAAACCCCATTGAGCTGTTGTGGGAGCAGCTTGACCATATGGTACGCAAGAAATGCTCATCCAGGTAATCCAACTTGTGGGACGATGTTCTCTCGTGGGGTGACATTTCTCCAGATTACCTCAACAAATTAACAGCTAGAAAGCAAAGGTCTGCTACGCTGTAATTGCTGCAAATTGATAATTCTTTAATGAAAGCAAAGATAAATATTATATTATTTATTATAAAATATGATTTCAAATATAAATCATTATTTCTAACCTTGTCAATGTCTTGACTATATGTTCTATTAATTTTACAACTCATGGTGGTAAATAAGTGTGAGTTTTCATGGAAAACACAAAATTGTGTAGGTGACCCCAAACTTTTGAACAGCAGTGTATGTCTTTGGAGCATTTTACAGGCGATTGGATTTATTATTTAACATGTCCAAATCTTTGTGGAGCTGTGGGGGTGGAGGCTCTAAATGAGGCTGATGGAGTTTTGATTTTTAATGTTTTTGAGTTCTTTTTGTTTTGATTTTCAACATTTTTCTGTCATGATTTTTGAAGTTGTTTAATAAAACGCAGCGTTTGCCTTTTCCCTTTAATTCCACACGTCTCTGTCTTTATTTGGTGAGTGTCTAAAATCCCTCAGTTGTTCAGGTAGAATCAACAGCAAAGGAGAAATTTAACTTGTGAACTGGACAAAGGTTTATTTGGTTTGAACATGTTTCTCAGCTCATCTAAGCTTCTTCTTCTTCAGTGCAGATGAACAGCAGACTGAGGTCCTGTGTTGCTCTCTCGTCTGGGTTGGTTCATTCTCTTGTGAAGTGTCTTTTTTGTTTCTCCAGAGTAAATGAAGAGTCACTCGGGTCTCGTCAGGACAAACATCAGACTTGGGCTGTGTTCAGTTCCTCCAACAGCCTCAGTTTGGACTGGACACTGAAGTTCTGCTTCAAGAAAAACAAGTGTCACTGTGTCCTGTTCTCATCTGTTGCACATCAGTCACATCAGTTGGAGATGTTCCATCTTAAAGCAGAAGTGGGTGAATGTGCACGGGGAGGTCAACACAGAGAGCAAAAGTCTGAACATGGACTCACTGGAATGTTCCACAGTGACACTTTAGCAGAACAAAGACAGAGTGTTAGATGGTTAGAGGAGCAGTTCCAGATGTGACCACACGAGGGCAGCACAGAGTCTGGATCTGGGTTTTGTTTTTATTTTGTCCAAAGATCCAGAAAAAGTTTGATTCTTGATTCATTTCGACGACACAAATTCACAGCTGAACATTTGTCTGAACAAAACCACACGTTTCATTTCACTGATGTTTATTTGAGGAGAGTCAAACATTTGAGATTCTTTTACAGCACAACAGAGTCTGGTCCATTTGAACATCAGAGAAATCAGAACCACACAAACACAAACACAAACACAAACAAACTAAACCGTAACATTTGCACTTTGAAAATGTTCCTAAAAGTTGTTGATGGTGTGAAAAAGCCCAGTCCCTCTGCTCCTGGTCTTCAGCTCCTGAGCTCAAAATGTGGATTAGTGCTAAAAGTCCAAATGTCCAGGTGTCCAAAGGCTCAGGAGGATGTGAGCGCCGCCTCTAACGCTCTCGTGTGTTCTCTCATCAAACTCCTCAAGTCTTCCAACTGCTCCAGAGTCTCTCTGCACTGCTCCGTCACCTCCAGGAGGCGCTCTACTCTACAGTCTTGGCCCAGATTTGTCAACATTTGTTTCCTTTCGCTCTCGATGTTCCTCAGAGGTTTGACGAGGCCACAAAACTTTCCCACCAACTCCTTGGCTTTATCCAGAGTCTTTGTGTCTGTGGATTTATCAGGCACAAAGACTCTGACGACGACGACGG